GCTGCAGAAAAAGACTTATCTGTGTTTCTAGCCCATGTATATTGTAAATTATCAGTATGCATTTCTCTCCAAACATCAACCAAAGAAAATAAATCAATCAAATGTTTTAATAGCCTTGTTGAAGCCGGATGAGGTTCAAAATGATTTCTATCCAACTGATCATTTTCTGTGCAGTTAAAATCTCCACCCAAAAAAAGAAAATCATCTGTGTCACATTTACATAGAACATCTTCAAGTTTACGTAAAAAAAGAATTCTCTCTCGTCTAACATTTGGAACATAAACATTAACAAAAATAATATTAAAACACTCGTATTTCGCTTTCACTACCAATAACCTACCCTTGATTACTTCCTCAAACTGAAAAGACACCGGAAGAAAATTTTTTGAGAACAGAATTGCAACTCCCCCACTGGCCTGAGTTAAATGACTCAAAACAATTTCCCCTCCCCATTCTCTCCGCCAATCTATCTCAATTGACCGATCGCTGTGTGTTTCTTGTACCATCAATACATTTATATGTTTTAAATTCATTAACTCAAACACACTAATTCTCTTCATCACATCTCTGGCTCCATTCAGATTTAATGTAGAAACTCTGAAAATGCTCATAACCAAAGGTGAAAGAAAAAACACTAACAGAATATGCATACATGTATCAAACTTCAAGCTCATCATCATTGTTAAATTCTTGCCTAAGTTTTCCGATCAATTTCTTTAACCGGTAAACTTCTTTGTCATTATATCCCCCTTTTTTTTTATTGCTCAACTGGGATCTCACATATTCAAGAAAAAGTTTTTTGTCAGGAAAGAAATCCTCTATTCTTACATTTTTCATGTTCTTTGTAACTTTCAAAAAATGTTTAACATTTTCCACACCATAACCTTTTCTATTTTGACTACGAACAAAGGATTTACTAGATGAACTGGCCAAACTATCTTCAGTCCAACCTTCATCTTCACCTTCATCCTCCTTCTCCTCCTCCTCATCCAGAATACTCTCGGACTCTAGAACTTCTCCTGAACATACCATTTCTTTATCTCTTTCTTCATTTTCAATTTGAGAACCAATCAGGCCTTCAGAAAATTTCCTCTTTAAAGACGTTTCTAAACCAACTTCCTCCAGTGTTTGACTGTTTCCCACATCCTCTATTTCCTCAGTATTCATATTTGTCTGATCAGACTTTACTAAACTGGGATTTTGTCCTTCCACATCGTTTTCTTTCTGCCTTTCCTGTGAATCGTTCTGGTTCTGCAGGATTTGCTCTTCATCGTCTAGCGCACATCTTTCCTTCACTTCTTCCTCACTGTGAGCATTTCTCTCAGATGTATGCCCTTCCACTTCTTCTGTCTCTGCGCTCCCTGAATCTGTAGTTGCAACTTGTTTCGTTAAATTTACGCTTTTATTAACTGCAGTTTGCGCCAAGTTTTCCAGAGGGAGATTTTTCCCGGGACACGCCCGAACCAAGTGACCAACTTTCCCGCAACCAAAACACACCAAAGTGCCCGAGTTGACATAAATAGAGTAATCAAAGTCGTCCACTCGCACATTAAGAACTAAGCTCAGATCCTCATCCTTCTTGTTCAGAATCATAAGAACTTGTCTTCTATGTGAAACAACATGTTTTAACTGCGGTGACTTGCAACCCGACGACATTTTCCTGATGGCGGAAACTATTTTTCCATGTCGAGACAATTCTCTCACTAACAATTCATCACTGATGAACGGAGGTATATTAGCAATGGTGACTTTTTTAGCAGGAGAACTCAACGGAGAAACAGACAAAAACACATCATTCACAACAATGCCTTTTTCAATCACTGTGTTTGCCTTATCTACACTATCAACAAAAATGACCACAGCGCTGTTCATCCGAGCCGCAGATTTAATGCTGCTAAAACCCACAACTTCTCCCACCGCCAAACTACAATCCTCCACCGTTAACGTGGGACTATTAGGTATAATCTTCAAACCGTGTTGCCTCGTAAGTGTGGTCAAATCCATTTCCGGCATTTTGCACTAAAAAGCAAAATGCCGGTTCTACGCACTAAATCGTCACCACTTACACTTAATCTACATCCACAACCACAATAATTAAAGAACAACCAGAAAACAAAACCCAAAAGGGATAGAAAAACCGAGTTAGAAGATTCTCAATCTCTCAGTCCACTCACCACACGCTCCTCCACCAACCCCCAGCATGCAGTGCGAAAGAAAGAAAGAAAGAAAGAAAGAAAGAAAGAAAGAAAGAAAGAAAGAAAGAAAAGAAAAGAAAAAGTCCAGTCGGTATAGAGTCAAATGATTTAATTAAAATTAAAACATAATGATTCAAAAATTAACATTAGAATCAGTATAACTATGAAACGTAATTACAATGTTTACATATTTAAATGCTTACAATACACGCAGACATGCGCGTAGGCGTGCGTGCAATGCCGGTGCTTGTACTCTTGTGCGTGTTTTCCTCAAATTTGAGTAGATTAGGGTTCGTGTGAAACTTTGTGCTCCAATTAAATACGCATAAATCAAATTTTACTGCAGGGAAAGTAAACTATACAACCCAAAATATTTAATCATCTTTAATTAATATATACAATTTGTAAATACATGGGAAAAAATATCTAGCTATATAGCCGTTTTTGTTTTGTTTTACGTTTTTTACGGACTAAAACTTCTTTGACGCTCCCTCCCTTGATCCGTCCCGTCATACATCGCGTGGCCAACGGCTCTCCACCACTCGCTCATTGAATTATTACAGCGCTCATCGCTTTTCGGCTCGATTTGGGGAACCATAAAAATACAAGCCACGCAGATTCACAAGCACCATCTCCGGGACGGTGGTGCATTTCAATCACGGTAGTGGAGCACGCTGTCCTGGGCTCGCTGGCTGTCTGGTTGGGGACGGGAAAGTGAGGGGAAGAAGTGCGGAGCTGGTCCCCGAGCAATGATGGAGCTGGAGTCGGCCAGTAACCGAGGCGACCCGGGAGCTGCGGGGGATTCGCTGCAGCCGCAGACGCCGAGCAGGCACGAAAAGAGCCTGGGACTGCTCACGACCAAGTTTGTGACCCTGCTACAGGAGGCGAAGGACGGAGTGCTGGATCTGAAAGCTGTGAGTGTTCAGCCCAGAGTCTTTGTTGTTAGCTAGCACATGTCAGACTGAGTTACATGCACTTTCGCTAGCCTGTTAGCTTAGCTGTGTCAGGCTAATTTGAATCGATTAACCGGTTAGCATGTAGCTCTGTAGTTATTATACACCCGTGTTACATTCTTATTCACGTTTACTATGGTGTTATGATACTTTTTAAAATCTTTCTTACACGAGGGCTGATTGTAGACGTAAAAAAGAACTTTGAAAACAATACCGGCCAACTTTTTTCAGACTGCCCCCTGCAGATTCAAAAAGTGGGTCAACCTTTGTCGTTAGTTACTATTACTAGTTAGTAATACATATACTGGATCTCCACACTTGAGCAGGTTTTTAGTTTTATTTTTCTGACTGATATTGCTTTTGTCTCTGAACAACGTGCTTTCATCAAATTAGTTATCCATAATTACCCTAATGCTTTTGTTCTTCATAATGCACTCTTAAGATGCATCATGCTGTACTTGTACAAGTAGAGATTATACTGTAATAATAAAAATACTGAGAACAAATACTTGTACTTTCAAATAATTGCTCTCAGATGCTTCAGATCGCATAGGAAGGCACTTGACAAATTATTACATAAATATAAACACCTTAAAATACATGTGCATCCTTTTTTTTTTTTTACCAGTACTTGCTATTATACTGCTTATTTGTTAATAGTATATATGATTTATTCCTCCTCGTGATGTCAGACTTACTGGTTGCTGACATTGATGGTTGTAATGTTGTTTGTAAATAATAAGTAACCAGACAGTCTAACTTCTTTATTTCTCTTTCATTCAGCCTTTTGAAAAAAAAGAGAAAGAAACTGACTTATCAGCGCTGGGCATGCTGTTATTATCTTTTTAGACAAAGAGTTTTGGCAGGGAAGGACGTCGTCTTATGCGACACCCAAATTTGTTTTTTTTTTATGTAGTTTTTTTGGATGCAGAAAAGCTGTTAGCGAGGATAGAGACATTCAGTATTTAACTTTTTATGTACAAGTACACAAAGAGAGAAGTTTTATTCTGCTCACTGTACATTTGTTGTGTTTGTCATGTTTGTAGGCTGCAGACACCCTGGCTGTGCGGCAGAAACGGCGTATATACGACATCACTAATGTCCTGGAAGGAATTGGTCTGATAGAGAAAAAGTCTAAGAACAGTATCCAGTGGAAGTAAGTTGACATTTATTTCTCTTTTTTTTACAGAATTATAATAATCCTAAGTAGTCACATCTTGAGCCATATCATTTAAAGAGTGGGTGGAATTATGGTAAGCAATATTACTAATTAGAAAGACAGCTAGAAAATAATGCTAAAATTGATATCCTATTTTACAAATTGGCACCCTTGTGCCACCTCTCTGTTATATGTTCTTTCACGTACAGTCATACTAACAGTCAACCAGGCATGATCATTTGCTTTTGTCTTGATTTTTGTGTCTAGGGCATTTGTAGCTGTCCCCAATGGTAATTAATATTAATAACATCCCGTGTCACACTCATATTTCAGCCTTAGAGAAATGCCTGAGAACACAATTCAGCTCAGTTTCTCAAGTGCTGTTTGCACAGTAACAAACTTTGTTCTGAGTGTGATGTAAAAAAACAAACATCAACTCAGTTACATTGCAAAATTATGCTAGTTTGTAAATTTTGCAACAGAAGTAACCTCAAACCACGAGGTTATTTCCATTGCTTAAAATTGTGAACACATTTTTCTTTGTCATAACTGGAGTAGACCAAGTTCACTACCGTGAACCTGTCGGGCAGTAGCTTGTTTTAATGAGCCCAAACATGATGTAGGGTTCATAGCATGTCATATTTAGACTATGCTCTGTTTGATCTAAACAGCAGTATAAATTAAATACTTTGTGACTTGTGTATTTGCCATTATTAGAAAATGGTCGGATTTGCAAAAACATATCTAATTTCTTGGTATTACGCATAATGTGTCTTAATATAATAAAATCTAATAACCCATTCATAATTTTCTAAAAGCTCCGTCCAATTTTTTTCTAAATTCATATTAGAGGTCTGTTCTATTAGTGGCCAACAGACATGGTGAATATCAGTGTTGTATCAAATTGTAAATTTAAATAGAAAACATCAGGGTTGATCTCGAGTGTGTAAACTTATCTTTGCTTGCTGTCGGCGCCTGACCAGATGTTTACTGATGTGTTTCAGGGGTGTAGGTCCAGGCTGCAACACCAGGGAGATCGCTGATAAGCTGATTGATCTGAAGGCCGAGCTGGATGACTTGGCTCTCCGGGAACACGAGCTGGACCAGCAGAGAGTCTGGGTCCAACAAAGCATCAAGAATGTCACAGACGACTCCAACAACAGCCCATATCCTTAACGGCCCCCGAGTGGGTTCTTATTTTTGTCCCAGAAATAATTTGTCCCACAAAATTACTCTATGAAGTGTTAAAAATCACAAGTAATAACTAGTAGATCTACTAGTCTCTGCTGCTTGGTCAGATCCAGTCTATATAAACTGGTGCTGGAACGAGAATTTGAGTGACTAAGCAAAACTTTGAAGAAAAAACAATATTTTTCAAGTTCACTTTGTTTATACATTATTTCTAGATTTAATGAGCATACAGAAAGATAGATAGAAACATAGAAACTTTAATAATCCTGTCCAAAAAATATATATTTTTTCAGCATCATTGAATTTTTACCTAAACATCACCAAAAATAAGTTAGTTTGCTATGAAGGAACACTAGAAAATGTGCAAGGGTTATAAGTAGCAGTTAAAAACAATAGTTTAAAACAAATAAAAGTGTGTGTGGGGGTACACATGAGTACTCCATAATATGTACTATTATCTCTATATTCTTGTTATGCCTGTTATTTATTCCTGCACAGAACGGGCAATCAATGTTCTCTGTTAAATAAAAAAATCAGGATAAATAAAACCTAACTTTTGGTACCTGACAAGTGATAGGGCTAATTTTGGCACATGTCGATTTACTCTGCCTGCTCTGTCAGACACGCTGGTCATCTGAAGGGGCACTCTTGTCAAATTTACATTTAAATTACAGAGAATACTACATGTGCTGTAAAAAAAAAACCCAGTTGTATAAGTTTTCAGTAATTGCTAGAATCAGATATCGAAGCTTAGCTTGATTTTGTTTTCTCGTCTTTGCCTCGAGTATAAGACGTGTGCTTTAAAAAAGTTATAGTGAACTTTCATGTTCATGTTTCATCCTCAGTATAAAATAGCTTTTAGTCATAACTTTACTGTTGAAATATTTCGTTAGGGATCCGATTGAGATTGTTCTTTGAGATGAACCCTTAACACGTTCATACAATGGCATTTGTAAAACATGAAGACCTCTGTGGAGCTTTTAAAGGTAATTATTTCCACATGCTTAATTTGATTAAAGCCCAAGTCTTGTCTGTTTTAAATGCAACTTTAACCTGTCACCTCTTTGTTGTGTACAGGTGACACCCTCCTAGCTATTCGTGCTCCAGTAGGAACACAACTAGAGGTGCCCGTACCAGAAGCTGTAAGTATTCTGGATGTACAGTTTGGTCCAGCTGTAATTTAGACTATGTCACAATTAAGTGCGTTTGTGTAGGCTCTCAACGGACAAAGGAAATACCAGATCCGTCTTAAAAGTACCACTGGTCCCGTTGAGGTTTTATTGGTCAACAAGGACCCTTCCAGTGCCTCTCCAGTCGTTTTGCCCGTCCCGCCTCCAGATGACGTCCTTCAAAAGCTACCAGCACCTACCTCTCAGCTGCCCACTTCTGCCTCACAGGTCACAATATTCTGAGATCCTCATGAAAGTGTTGTTTGAAGTACTTCAGGATTACAGAAAGCCAAATAGACGTTTGGACATTTTGTATAAAACATCAAATTAAACTTGAATGTTGCCAACTTTTGTAGGTTTTTGTTGTTGTTTGTTTCATACAATCCCTCCTATCCTTCAGGTCCCCAAAGCAACTCCAGCCACTGCCACAAAACCAACTCCTGCCACAACACCAGCTTCTGCAGCCATCCAGACAAAAGGTAGGAAGTGTGAAAGTCCTGATGATGCAACTCAAAAAGAAAAAGGTTGTAATATTGTGAAATCTTATTTTCTGATTGTATCGTGGTGGCTTTGTTTCAGAGGCAACAAGCACCACTCCTCCCAGTATTCCAACAGAAACACCAGCTGCTGTTCCTCAACAACTACAGTCGTCTGCCTCGTTAGACGGATCTGCTGCTTCCTCTGCCTCTGCAGCCTTTGAACCAATTAAATCAAATCCTTCTGAATGTGAGCGTTACACTTTCCTAGAGCTCTCAGTTAATTTGCATTTTGAATTTTTATTTTCAAAGCCTTGTTAGCAGATTTAACTGTTTGTTTTATTACAAAAAGAGCAATACAAACATTTAATGTTTCTCCTTGTTTCTTTTTAGTATTGGACTTTTCCAAAGAGCTTTCTGAAATGTTTGATCCAACAAAAGGTAAACATTTTTAGTCTTTAGCAAACTGCATGATTGAGCACTATTTATAGGTTATGTTTTAAAAAAGAAGGTTTTCATGCAACATGTCTTTTTCTTTTCTTACAGAAATCATGAGTGGGGATCTGTTAGAGGACTTGATGTCATCAGAAGGTAAATTTGTTTAACACTGTTAGCAAAGCTGATGATAGGAACAGTCACATTATTACAAAATAGAATAGAAGAATAGAATTTTATTGTCATGGCACCTAAATACAACAAAATATTTTAAACACTCAAAATGTGCAACACAAGCAGATTGATATTACACAAGTTGTCCTTTCTTGCACTTATCCAGTTCTTATAACCGTTTTTGTTAAGTTCAGTAACGGCTGACAGATAAAAACTATTTTTAAATCTGTTTGTTCTTGTCTTGATTGATCTGTACTTTTTCTCTGATGGTAACAGTTCAAACATATGTCCAGGGTGAGACGTGGCCTTTAAGATATTGTGGGCTTTTTCTCTGCAGTGGGAACTGTGTAGATCTTCCAGTGAGAGAAGAGGATAGTCCACAATCTTCTGGGCTTGTGTTGATAACTCTCTGGAGCACTTTCCTCTGAGCCACTGTGCAGCTAAGATGCCACACAGTGATGCAGTAGGTTAAGATGCTCTCTGTGGAGCATCGGTAGAAAGACACCAGCAGTCTCTGGGTGCTGTTGTTCCTCCTGAGCACTCTCAGGAAGTACAGTCTCTGCGGGATCTTTTTCAGCAGCTCAGAGGTGTTCATGCTCCAGGTCAGATTCCCCTCAATGTGGACTCCCAGGAAACAGTGGCCACCTTCTCTCTCCACACTGACTCTGCTTATAATCAGGACCACCATTTTTTGTTTCCTGAAGTCGATGATCAGCTTCTTAGTCTTTGAGGTGTTGAGGAGCAGATTGTTCCCCCTTCACCGAGCAGTCAGTTGTTCCACCTCGTTCCTGTTGGCGGACTCATCCGCACTGATGAGCTCCACCACTATGGTGTCGTCCGCAAGAAATCATTATGTTTCTGTATTTATTGCCTGCTGTTTAAAGCAAATAATGTTTTGTGTCCGTGTCTGTGCGTGTGTTTGGTTGTCTGTAGCTGTTGACAAAATATCTCATGAAACTGGACAAATTTCAGAGGGAGTCTGGTTCGGTGACCTCAGTATTCCAACTCTGCTATTTGCGTATGATGTGATCCTGTTGGTGTCATCGTGCCGTGATCTTCAGCTCTCACTGGAGCAGTTCGCAGCCGAGGGTGAAACGGATGGGATGAGAATCAGCACCTCCAAATCTGAGGCCACAGTCCTCAGTCAGAAACGGGTGAATTGCTTTCTTGAGGTCGAGGGTGAGTTTCTGCCTCAGGTGGAGGAGTTCAAGTATCTCAAAGTTTTGTTCACGAGTGAGGGAAGAATGGCGCGTTAGATTGACAGACGGATTAGTGTGGCGTCTGAAGTATTGTGGATTCTACGCCGGTCCATTGTGGTGAAAAGGAAGCTGAGCTGTAAGGTGAAGCTCTCTGTTTCTATGGCCACAAACTCTAAAAGGTGACTAAAAGGATGAGATCATGGATACAGGCGGTTGAAATGAGTTTCCCCCGCAGGGAAGCTGGACTCACCCTTAGAGATAGGGTGAGAAGTTCAGTTATCTGGGAGAGACTCAGAGTAGAACCGCTGCTCCTCCGCATCGAGAGGAGCCAGTTGAGGTGGTTCAGGTATCTGGTAAGGATGCTTCCTGGGCGCCTCCCTAGAGAGGTGCTTCGTGCATGTTAGGGTTGTTAGGGTTGCATGTGGACAGAAAAGGAGGGGGTAAATAAGACATTTAAAATTTATATGGCAGCCCTGTGCCAGGCCCAGCTGCATTCATTGTTCATGCATGATCACAGTTACGTTCAATATATATAATATATACACTTAACGTCTCTTTGGACCCTGGATTTTCTTAGTTTTGTTCCTACATGCTGGAAAAGGGTGAGTAGCACAAAATCACTCTGCTCTCTGCCATTTATTATGACTGGTGTTTGTGCAAAAAAACTTTTGACTGCAGCTGCCTGTAGTGTGCATGTGACTTCACACTTTACACTGTGGTGGTGCAGAGGTTAGAGAAGGTGGGCCTGTGATTGGAGGGTCGCCGGTTTGACTCCCCAGACCGACAACATCAAAATGTGAGTGGAAAAGGTGAAACACCCACACCTGCCTCCACACTCGTTTGCCTCACTCTGGGCCCTTGAGCAAAGCCCTTAACCCCCACCAACTGCTCCTAAACAGGTCTCTCTTGAAAATGGGTCCTCGTGACTCAATGAGTCTACCTGTATAAATAAAGGCTCAAATAAAAATGTTAAAGCTTGCGTAGCATTTCACACCTCAGCGAGGGGTTCCCCTGAAAATCTCCACTTTGAGATTTGGATTCAGAAATCTTTGGTTTCAGAGAGAACGAGGGCTGTTGTCGTGTAAATGAACAGCTGAACCGCAGCAGAAAAGCTGTGGTTTCACTCAAAAAAACGCGTCGTGTAAACTGGATCTTCCTTTATGAATGTTAAGGTTTTAAATACAATAAATTACCGGAAGTCTTTTACCATCCTGCATAATTCATCATCTCTTTGTTTTTGTTTTACCCCCAGTGTTCTCGCCTCTTCTTCGTCTGTCTCCACCACCCAGTGACCATGACTACATTTACAACCTGGATGAGACTGAAGGCCTTTGTGACCTCTTTGATGTGCCCATTCTCAACCTTTGACACAAAGTTTGGTTAAAAACAGCTGCCCAAATATGTTTATCCACCCTCATTTCCTTCAAGGCTCCCCCACCCCCTGACAGTGATTATGAGAAGGGGCACGAAGATTACCCTGATCTGCTGAGCATTTTATGGACACTGCTGCATCGTGAGCTCAAGCTGAACTCAGACAAAAAGCTCAATGTTCTGAAAAACAAGCGAGGGAAAAAAACATTTTACGTTCATCTTTTCTAAGGGAAAAAAGAGTTATCTAAAAAGGTTGAGTCAGGTCCTCTGGATGGATTCTTTGTTGAAACATTTAGTCTTTTATTCAAAAAACTTCTTCAGGTTGAGGAGCTACAACAAACAGTATTATAAATAGCACCTTCTCATAATGGATCTACCAGTTTGCTGGTGACAGCCGAAACTAGTTGTTCGCATGTAAAAGGAGGACCATCAGCCTAACAGTAGATCATTAGTGCCCTGATGGTTGCTTGCTATTCACAGAGGACTGAGTGATACTAGCAATAACAGCATTGTAAGAGGGGGACAGCTGAACACGGAGGCCTCCACCCCGTTTAACAATGGACGAGTTCTCTTCACAAAGATGGCCTCCTTTACTCCTCTCTTAAACCATCATTCCTTTCTATCAAGGATGTGAACATCTTCATCCCTGGAAGACCGACCGCTGGCCTGGAGATGAGTGTAGACCACAGAGTCCTGGCCTGATAATTGGATGTGTCCAGCTGTACCCCCCCACAAACACTATAATGCTGTTATTACAAGCATTAGGCTGATAATCCTCCTTTTGCATGTGAACAACTAGTTCTGGTTGCCACCATCCAACTGGTTGGTCCACTATGAGAAGGTGCTGTTTATAAGACTAAGTCTGTTGCAGCACCTCAGACTGAAGGAGTCTTGGATAAAAAAAAAAGAAACGTTTCACCAAATTAGAATCTGTCCAGAGAGCCTGACTCAGCCTTGTAAGATTGATCTACCTGGATTATTGAGCAGCATCAGGACAAGTCAGAATTATATTTTTGGATTCTTGTATACAAAGAATTGTGCTTGTATATCAGCTTTCCCATGTTTTTGAATGTGTGTATACATGGTGTGTGTGTGGTTGTATGCTTGTGAGTTTTCTTTTGTACTGATTTATCTCTGAACTTGAGTCAGATGTCTGGGAAAAAATGTATATAAACAAAACGTGGAACCCCTTTTTCAATCAGGTCAGAAGTCAGGTGGCTTCAAGTTCAAATACAGCTGGGTAATTATGCACTCCTCATGTACATAGAGAATATATTTTTTGTATTTCCAGCACACAAGACCATTACTTAATTAATAACTCCATTTCTAACACAAAGTGATATTTTGCAAATTAATGCCATGCTCAAGTTCCTGTTTGCATGACTTTAAAATATTGTAAATCTGTGATTTATAACCAAACCTTTCAGTGATGTGTTGCGTCCCACTGTGAGAAAGAATTAGAAGAACAATTTAAACCACAAACCAAAAATCTACAGAGTTCATGAGAAAATTATAGAATAATTTCACATTCATTTTTATTTTTAAAAATTTAGTCATTTTAAACCATTTAAAACTGTTTTAATGGGTTTTCTAGGTGTCCTGGAACAGCATTAAGTCTGTGTCTAGAACATTTTAAAAGGTGATTTGAATCTGGTCATTTTAACATTCCTGCTGATTAACACGTGTAAAAAAAAAATTAATCATTGTCATTTTTTATGACTTTTTCACCTTAAAACCTTTCTTGAACCTTGCAGATTTGCTTGCACTGATATAACTTGTGTTTATGTCAGAGGAATAGCTTACAACCCCACCACAAATATATCTTTCATTAAAAATGTCTGAACTAATGTTTGTGTACAAATACCTACAAAGCCAAGTTTGTATTTATAATAAAAATGTAACTTCAGTCTGCTAATGTACTCACTATGTTGTCAAATATTCTCTTTTTTTTTGTATATGTAGCACTGATTTCTGTTTTATCCAGGTTTTTTTGTTTGTTTGTTTTAGGTGGAAATATGCCATCACACTTTCAGTTCTTGTTTTCTCTGCAGGGTGCAGAGTTTAGTGGTTCAGGACTCGTTTCATGTCACTTGTCATCTTTAGTGTTTTCTTGTGGAACATCACTGTGTAATATCTCAGTTTGCCCTGGATGATGTATATGTATGTAAAGTATGTACTGCTTGTATAGAATAGTGTTTATTTTTTTATACTGCCTAGATATGGTTTTGCAGGATTGTGGCTATTAATCTGGGGGCTAAACTTAAAAGGAATTTATTAACACAACCCTAATTTTTGATCAAGCATTCTGTCTCTTTGCTGCACTTTAACAACACTGTGGACAGACTGGTTGCTGTTCATCCTCAGCAGCCAGGGAGCTCACCTTTACTGGACCAAAACCAAATCCTGTCTGTGTTCGCTGATCCGTAAGACTCTTGAACATGAAGACTGTTTTTAACAGGCTCAGAATTGCCCAGCTGTAGTTGCGTCAAACGACACAAAATAAACCTTTTGATAATATCTGTGTGCTGTTTGGTTTTCTTGGTTCCCTGAGTTAAGCAGCATTTCACAGGTTACAGTTTATTACTAATTTATTGCAGTTTATCAGTTCAACTCAAGTAGAAGAAAGGTTCTATAATATGGTTTTTGAAGTATCCTATTATTATGAAAGCATGTTATTGTTTGAAAACGAGTAATTTTCACAGAGGAGCAGATGCATAAAGTGTGGCCGTGTAAACAAAGTAATCTGTAATGTCACCATCTAACCATCCTATTTAGTTTGGACTAACAATAAAACAAGTACTATTTTAATAAATGAACAGCAGAGGGCAGCTGTAACCAAAAATGACCGACCCGGAACTTTGTCAAAATTAAGTTTTTTCATAGGTGGGTGAAACATGAAGTATTTCAGAATATGCTGAATAATCTTTACATTTTTTTTGTCGAATTTTATTTCAAAGTAAAATTACCGTAAGGTTCATTGCAGTCTAAAAATAAAATAATCAAGAGCATAAAGTCAGAGTTATTCCATTATTAAAGTGCCATGGAGTAAGTAGTGTAGAACCGAGCTTTACTTTGAGAATGACGGCAACCGTGTCCTTCCAAAAGCGACCTTCATCTTCAATATGTTTTATTTTGAAATAACGTAACAGGAAGCTGAAATCTAAACCCGGAATTGACACACAAACCTGCTCAAACGGCTCAAAACCGACCCGGATCTTTTTTTTTTTCTTTCTCCTCAATCAATCACCCCTTAAAATAAGTTTTAATAAGTTTTATTTTAGCTTTGTCAACACTTTAAATGTTTTTATAAGATAAGCCCTCCTCACGGACCGACTCTGTTGATGTTGAAGGAGACGAAAAGGATTGTTTGAAATGCTTTCGCTCTGATTGCGGCGGTTCCTGCAGGACAGCAGCCCTCGCTCGACTTGTCTTTTCTCGGCAGGTAGGAAAAATAAAAAAAACTGTGCAGCTGACCCACATTTGTTTCACAACTCTTGGTGATAGCCATACTTTATTTAGGCGTTGTTTTAATGTTTTACGTCTGACTCAGTTATAATACTAACATCACAAAGCATCAGTCAGGCTGGACTAACTTAAAAGCAGATGTGTGTTTCGGTTCAGAACAATTATGTGCAGTTTATTTTTTTTTAATACATGTCAGTGCAAAACCAGAGTCCTCTCATTTTCCGTCAAGAAGGACGATAATTAATTGTAATAACTGTAAAGTTTCATATAAGGACTTTGGATGACTGAATGTGTCTGTCAAGGCAGGAATTTCAGGCAGCTCAGATCCTCCCCCTCCAACCATACTCCCACGCGCACGCACACACACGCACAATGAGTTGGGTCTGTCAATCCAGGGGGTCTGCAGACTGATGAAAAGGTCTCAGCCGGATTGTGGTTTTCATGAAGCAAACAGTGACAGCTGCTGCTGCTGAATGTGGTTTCGTTTGACATGGTTTGCTTCCAGGTTGTGAAATATCAGCAGCTCTGTCTTGAAGAGAGGAAGCTTTTCATTGACATGTGACACTATAAAGAGCCATGCTGAATGGAACAACTGCCTGCTCTGACAGCTCTACTTTAATAAGCCGTTTTAGTCAAAATCTTAACAAGATTAATTACCCAGAAACTTTTTATTCCTTTGTTGAATTGATTGATTTGTTTGTAACGCAGCAAATAAAATTAGCAGCACATTTTAAATGTATTTGTAAACTAAAGTTTTGAAGAAAAAAAAGTAAACAACTTGTAGTTCCTGTTTGTTTACTTTGGCCTTTAACTTAAGTTATAAATCAAATGATTTGATAAAATAAGATCTGTAAGCTTGACCTCGACAAATCAAGCTTGTACACGTCTTCTGTTTATTGTAAGCTAAAGAAATGTCATTTTAGGCAACTTAAAGGCTAAAAGTAGCTCAATATTAGCATAAAGCAGAAAACGCTTAGCTGAAATACTTAGAAGTAACAAAACGGTAGCTCAAAGCTAAAAGTAGCAAAAGGCAAGTCAGGTTAAAAACTAGGGGTGCACCAATTGCAGTTTTCTGGCCGATCATCGATTTCTAAAAAGTCTGACCTGCCGATTCCAATTTTGTTTAATAAGGGACACTGTCAGGTGTTATAAGGTCCCAATGCACCTTCAATTTTCCAATATTATTTTGTTGAAAAACATGCCCTTGAACAATATCCTAGAAACAATACAAACTTGTTTTAACTGGCCATGAGGTAGTGCTTTGAAATATAAATGAAGTTCAGACAATTGTTGTTAAAACAAAATATATATATATATATAAAATTGGTTTCTCATGTAAGTATCAGCCGATTTCCTAAAAATAAGGAAATCGGGGCCGATTTATCAGCGCACTCCTATTAAAAACTGTAAAAGGCTAGCTAAAATGCTAACAGTGGCAGAATGAGCTAAAGCTACTAGCAGCAAAACCCTAGCAGAAAGTATCAAAAGTTTAGCTAGAAGCTTATATTAGTAGTAAATGTTAAAAGGCTAGTATTGAGCTAAAATGTTGAAAGCAGCAGAATGGTAATGTGAAGCTAAAAGCAGCAAAAGCATCAGAAGGCTAGCTAGAAGCTAAAAGTAACAGCAACTGGCTAAAAACTCTAAAAGGCTAGCTAAAATGCTAAAAGTTACAGACCGATAGCTTAAAGCTAAAAGTAGCAACTAAAAGTGTCAAAAAGCTAACTATAAGCTAAATGTAGAAGAAGGCTGGCTAAAAGCATAAAAAGTCTAGCTAAATTAAAAAAAAATACTAGAATGGCAGCTTAAAGCTAAAAGTAGCACAAGGCAAGTTAAAAGGTCAATGTTGCT